AAAAACAACACGAGAGCCGAAAAAAATAAAGAGAGAAAATACCTTTTGAAAACAAAGAGTGATACTGTGAACCAATAAGACCAAACAGAACACATATGCCTTAAATCAATAGACAAGCAGAGCTGTCTCCCTATTTCTCCTTTATTGGATTTATCTATGTGGCACACTACAGTGTGTGTGTGTGTGTGTGTGTGTGTGTGTGTGTGTGTGTGTGTGTGTGTGTGTGTGTGTGTGTGTGTGTGTGTGTGATCCAACTGCAATCCAATGGCCAGTAAAGCTTTAGCTTTATAGAGCATTTTCAAAGCAGACCAGCACAGATCCCTTAAGTCTGTCCTCACTATTAGATGCAGCTGATGAAACAGTGAATTTTATTAGATAATACAACTGTTTAGAGAGAGCATTCCTGTAATACAGGTTGTTTACAAGGAAACTTATCCACAGCTTGTTCATAATACCAGGAAGCAACCTCCAGTGTCTTTCTGCTCCATTATTAGATGATTTAGAAATGCAAACTTTAACATAAAGACACATTTTCACTTTACAAATTAAAATTAGAAGTATTTTTTTAAAATATCTTTTTATATTTCCATGCAAAACCTCCAAGGCTGGAAAATGAAGATAATGTCGAAATACTGAAAACTGCAGTTCCTCAAATAGCCACTTTAAATTTCCATAGATTCCCACGTTAAAATGTTTCAATAGTTATTTTTCCATAACTGTTGAAATAAACATTTTTACACCCTGATACATTTTTCCCTATTCATAAGAACTAAACTCTTTCATTTGGATACTGGTGAGGTTTAAAGTTAGAGTCCTGGCAAGTATGTTGCTGTCTGCTAGACTTCATCTCCATAACTAACTGGATCCCTTGGAAGTATGTGACAATATGACGTCTGTGCTCCAGTCTCAGAGTGAAACTCTGGGATACTAATTATCTGTTATTTCCCACTAATTGGCAGGTGTACCCATATGCACCCATATGCTTTACAGATGCAGCATTTGCTGCACCTTACTCCAATTAGCACTCCATCCTTTAAATACTTCTGACTCCAAAAAACACATAGAACAAAATAGCTACAGTCTAAACAGTAGGTGCCATTGTGCTGGATCGGTCCATTTTTAAGGTACAATGTGTAGAATATATACACAGGGCTAATTACAGTGCATGACAATGAGGCTTGCTTCTAGTGGTCAAAGGAAGGTTTTGAAATCCATCCATCCATTTTTATTTTAGACATTAATACGAGTAGGATGGGAAGATTATAATGTTTAGAAACTTGTTGTCAAAGGTCACTCAACAGTCACATCTTGAGCAGCCTGAGTCAGTGTCGCCCAGGCATAGGCCTGTAAATGTACCCCACTCCCCCACCGCTCCAGTAACATCAAGACTTCATGGTCATTTTAATCCTTTTCTGACATCAGATGTGTATCATGAAAAGATCTTATTTTGTTCTCTCCTGTTTTCTGTCATGCATAACCTGCTACACTGGTGGATGCTTCTATCAAACATGGCTGAAGTTTCATATAATTATTTTAGGATATGTGCAAATTGATGCCAAATGTCTGAGCTCAGTGTTCAGACAATTTTTATTCTACTCTAGCTTCTGTATAAGATCAGTGAGAGAGGATATCCCTAATGTGGTTATATCACTGACTGTAAGCTATTCACCTGCCATTTAAACTTTGTTTGCAAGGGGCAGCCAAAGTTGACTAAAAGAGAGTGCGAAAGGAGCAAAGAACAGCTTGTTTCATACAGTGGATGAACTTAGGGTCAAACATAGATAAGGATTATTTTTGAACTGTCAGTCATGCAAAGCAACTCTAATTAAGCCCATACCTGCAACAGGATAAAGAGAGCCACAGTAGGCACTTTTTATCGCCACTTGGCAGTAGAATAAATGCCGTATAAAGCCTGAGATGCAGGCAATTTTTCCCCGCATGTCACTTCCCACATAGTTGTGTCCCCATTATATGTAACAACCTCCTATGCCATTAAATCACCATCTTCAGTGTGTTTATCGGTTAATGCCACCACCTTCATTTAAGACGTGCCGTGTTTAAAAGTCTCGCTTCACGGCTTCTTCCTAATGGAAAAAAAACATCCATCATTTTCATCTCTTTGCATTTCTTTCATATTTTTCATGAGTTAGGGTCTCCGTGCGATAAATCTGTCTTTCCTTGTGGTTATTTAGGTCTCCCTGTGGTCTACGGTCATTTAGGATATAGCGAGTGGGCCATTTTCATCTGTGTCTTTATTGCCTGCAAATCCCAATTTATGCTATTTGTGTTTGCTCTTTTGTTGTAAACCGTTCTCTTTGTTGGTGGTCACTTTAGCTGTCTTTTCTTTGTATCGTTTTTAACTATCTCTTTCTGGTCATTTATTATTTTCATCTATTTTCTTTTTTGCACCCTTTTGTAGTGAGCTCGTGTCTCTCTACAATCATTATTTCTTTCTTTATGGTCATGTCAGTCTCTCTGTACTCATTTGAGTCCCTTTCTTGTCTTTCAGTGACCTTTGTAGCAAGCTGATAAACATTCAAACAAGAAATGTAAACAGTCCAAACAGATGCAATCTGCTGCAGGGACCTCCTGACACCGTAAGCCTCTGCTTAGCAAGCCCTTATTAGTTGTATACTTGTAAAGTGGTCATGTAAGGGTTAAACATGCTGTAGACTGATAGCTCAGAACTATCATCAATGATACGCTTTCACTTCATTGGGCAATTTGATGGCACAGCTGTTCTACCTTTTTAATCGAGCACTCCCATCATTTCCCATTGCTTGTATATAAGAAGCACTCTGTATTAGTGAATGATATCAAGCGGATGCTAAGAAGAAAAGCTCATCCCTGCAGTTTTGTCTTGCAACATTCGTATTGATTGAGGAATCGATACTGTCCTCTAGAGAGAAAATACCAGACTGATATCCTGCCATTTCTTCATCCATACTCAACAGAGCAGGCTGCAGGTGACCGGTATGCTTGTTTCTTCAGGACCATATGAGGGGTGAATATTGCCACAGAGCAAGGAGGGAGAGGGGATCTGACCATTTAAGCTGCTCTCCAGGCAGAGAGAGGGGGATATCTGTTCCAAGTTTTTTGTTTTTTTTATGATACCTAAAGCAGTTTTTCTAAGTCAAGCATGAAACACCTCCTTTATAGAAGACTTTTAATCTAACATTTGATTAAGTTGCCTCTTTGTCACATACACAAACTCCCCAGGAAGGCTTATCAGAATAATGTTCTGTAGCTGGAAGCATGTTGCAGAGCAATTCCGGCCTAACCTGACCTAGACATCATACTAGTGTGCTTTTATAAACAGCAAACACATTGTTTTCATATAAAATGTTTCACTTTTATCATCATGCATATGTGATGTGGGGCTTCCATATTGCTATAAAAGTCAAGAGGGAATAAACCAGTTGAACAGGCAGTGGGTGGACTGACTTTTCCCCCCAGTATCTGCTCTTTGCTGTGTAATTTCCCTTCCAAGTGTCATTCTTCACTTGGCTCCACTTATTAGACGTGTCATTACGTGCAATACTAAAAGGGATTTTAATGACAAAATATGCATGTCCCATTGCCTGTACCTTTAAAAACTTTTTGCTGAACATAGATGCAGCATAAGATTAAAATAAAATAAAAAATCAGTTGCAGTCTACTACTACTACATCTTTAATGCATTAAAAGATAATGTGCTATGAAATACAGTGGTACAGATTATGTTTCTACGCCTAAAATTCTCAGAAGGGATGTTTTCATATCTATATATAATACTGAATGAGTTGTGGGGCTGGAATTTCTTTACCCTCTCTGAATCTCCACCTTTTCTCCGGTAACGGTTTCCCAATGAAACCAGACTAAGAACAATTCAGAACATGTATGAAGATGAAGAGATCAAATGATCAAGTCAGCCCGCTGAGACAGGTGTACCAGGGACCTACTCTGGTGCCAGTTCTGGGCAAGTGACACAAAAAAAAAAACATGTGGTCCGTATGAACCATATTTGAAATTATTGCATACTGTCTTTTTGCACACATGCACGCAGACACGTATGTCCCCACTCAGATGTATTATTAAACTTAACTGTTGCTGCAATCCTTTCTAGAGTACACACTAGCACTGTATTCTGTGGTTGTACCATCTTCTCCTGCCTGTGGCTGAGCAGGTGACAGTGGTTTGTACTAATTAGTGCTTCTACAAAACAATGCCTATTCTTTTCTTCTCTTCCTTTTTTTTCGGGTCAGGCTTGTGTCTTTATAAATATTTTAGCAGAACCCGTTCAGACTCTCTGGAGATGTTAATCAGAACTTAACGTCTTAAGTCAGCTTTAAGTTTTCTCAAGAAGTATGGTCGCTTCTTACTTTTTCACTTACTACTCAAACTCACTCAAAATTCAGCTTTGCAACCAAATCAAATTTGTCTCAGAAAACATCACAGGCAAGGCATCACTGAATCACTTGGTTGATGCCAGCTGTATGAGACTCGTGCCAGCAGCTCTAAAGCAGTGACCAGTCTGATTTCTGGGCTTTAAAACTTAATGTCCTCCTTTTAGAAATATGTTTACACTCATGTAGCCAACCAAACCAAACAAAGCTGTGCAGTACATTACACTCATGCATAACCATGGCTTACTATTGTAGATTACATTTAATATTCCTGTCTACCAACTTCTACCAATTTTTTACATAAAATATGAATGCATAATATCAGGGTGCTCAGTCTTTGTTTTGCTGTGGCATTAATGTACCCTCATACACTCTGACAATAGAGCCAAGTATCATCCACAGTGCTTGGGTTTAAACGCAGGTGAACATTTTACACTTAACTAATCTCACTCTTCGGGGATTAACTAATATTACAAAGAAAAGAAGATGTAGTAACCATTAGCAGAGTTTAGACCCTGCATGTTTTGGCCTTTGATCACCACAACAGTGATATGAGAAACAGTACAACAGGTACGATTTGAACTGTAAATTCACGCAAGCTGTCGACCAACTTACTTGAATCTTCCCTGACAGTGCTGGCACTGATCCCCGACCCAGCCGTGGTCACACACGCAGGTCCCGTTGATACACTTCCCTGAAAAACAGCTTTTATCACAAGACTTGGACACCGAGGAGGCTTCCGCGTGGACCACGAGATGAAGCATCATCAGTATTCCCAGGTATATTTTCAACACTTCCCGGGACCTGCTCTGTGAAGACCTGGTCCAGGTGAGCAGACGTGTCCCGCTAACAAGGACCATGATGGACGCGGGTAGACTTGTTTTTTCGGAGGCTGCAAGCTGAGAGAAAGCGAGCCGTCACGTTAGGCTGTGAGGTGATGTGTTGTCATGAGCTGAGGTGTCACTTGGCTCAAGCAGCTTACCTGTGACGCCTGTGGGAAAGGCGCAGGAAAACAGCAGTTACGCTGTCAGAACATGCCGAGCTGCAGGAGAGAAGCTGCGGGACGGGACAAAGAGGTGAAACTTTGATGGAAACTGCTCCGACGTTAAAAAGCCCGTGAACGCATTTCCTCTCGTATTCATCCACTTTCACATCGAAAGCCCCCTTACGCGCGTCCAAGCAACTCTTCCAGATAACTTCCAGTGTGCAGTTTCCAATGAATACAAGCGATCGTGACCGGATGATGCTCTCTCAGCGGGGAAAAGCTGTAATCCAGGAGATAAAATCAAACCACGGAGCTCAGACGACCGTGCGCTTCTCTCCTGCTGGATGTGTTCCCAGACAAAGACGCGCCCTCCCCTCTGCCCGGGTTTGTTCTCCTTCGAGGATGCGACAGCCGCAGCTCCCCCCGGATCGTCGCTTCTTCTGCTTCTTTCTCCTGCCTGCTGCTCTCGCTCTTCAGTCCACACAGCTGGTTTCTGACAGGGGGAAACTCCAGCACAAAGCCCCGAGCATGAGCAGTACGGCCACGCGGTTAAAGGGGCAGTTCCCTTTAAACGGCATGCAGCAGAGACAAAGCCGGTGACATTCGTCTGCAACACCGACTATCTCAGCGCGTTTCTACACCTGAAGTGCATGTTCGAGACGAACAATGAAAGAAGGAAGAATGAAGAAAGACATTTTGCGCACAGAAGAAATATTTTCCTTTTACAATAATTATCCCGATGGCATGCATACCTACACTACTTTCCTTACCTAAATCTATACAGAGATGGTGAGAGAGAGAGTTATTGTATTTCCAAGTCAAAAATAATGCACCATGTGCTGTACTGTAAGTAATCGGGTATAGGAGTTCCTTTACATTTATTTTAATTATTTTTCTTTCTTCCATTTAGAAACTTAATTCTTGTAGCTTTTTTTCAGTGTCACTGATCACTGAGATCTTTGGCTATCTGCAACTACAGCAAACTTCGCCAGTAAAACAAAAACTGCACATGTTTTGGAGGAAAACAGGGAAAACCCACCATCTTTCTGCATTTTCCTGACCGCCAGCTGTCTCCTGATATTCCCCCAGCAAATCTAGAAGAAGTGTTGTGAATGTGGACCTTTTTGGCCCTGGACATCATGCAGAATGACCTTGATATCCAGTAATTAGGCCACCAAGGATATTCATGCACACTGTATAGACCGCTAATGTATATGCTGTATGATGCTTATGTCAAAACAAAATGCATGCCTTGTAAAGGACACGTTATCACCCACAGCATTACCCAGTGAGGCTGAAAGTCTGTTATCCATATGATTGTCTTTCTATTATTTCTTGTGTCTTTGATGAAAAAAAAATAGCTAATTTTCTGGTTACTCAAAGAAGCTCTTAATTCTTTTCAGCAAAATCCAACACTGGCTGTTTAGTTTTTCAAGGCTGAGTAAATTCAACCATAATGTCAAAATCCAATTTTGTTACTCATTTTCGACAGAAGTTTTTCACGCACGCACACACTCGCGCCTTCACAGAAACTTATCATGAGAAAGGGTAACCGCGGGGAATGATCGCTAATAAAACTGCAGCCAAATGGTAATTTTTTTCTAGAACAATTGCCCCGAGACAAATTGGAGACAGCATAACAACCCCCACCGAATTCATTCTAGCAATCACTGGTACACTTTATTACTCAAATAGTTATTATCTATGTATCGTACATTTCAAAACCAGCTGGAAACAGTAAAAGATGTGTAATCCTACAGTCTGTCCTTCTATTTCAGAGATCAATCATCCACCCATTCGCTTCCATCCATCCATCCATTCGCTTCCGCTTATCCTTTTCAGGGTCGCGGGGGACGCTGGAGCCTATCCCAGCTGTCATAGGGCGAGAGGCGGGGTACACCCTGGACAGGTCGCCAGTCTCACACAGGGACAGACAACCATTCACACTCACATTCACTCGCACATTTACACCTAGTGACAATTTGGATTATCCAATTAACCTATCCCCACAAGAGAGATCAATCAGTGTTGATTTAAAGTGCAAAATATCTACAGCTGAGAAAAGATGCTTTCAAATAAGAAACTAACCTCTTTCTTTCCACCTAAGTTCTCGGTGCATTGGTTGGACACATTTGGATGCATCTGAGTCGATTCAAAGACAGATATGACAGCAACATTAAAACCGGACTGACACAACGGAGGCCTAATTCCCCAAACTGTCTGCCTGATTTATAACTCCATCTCAAGGCTTTAAAGACACAAAGATGTTCTTTAGAGCCAAGCGGTGCTTTTGAAAAACAAAGCCAAGATTTGCATCTGCGTTCCCCGAGGGCTCACAAAAACCATGCAGCAAGCCAAAAGACGATAATCCTCAAACCGAAACATCTAAAGCAAGATATTACTCTGCCACAGTGTGATGAAGAGAATAACACTGTTTCAACTTGAGATATTGGTTACAGCAGTTACATATGTGTGTAGACACCTGGTGTTTAACAAGGTGAGTCTCAACACTGCAGTGAGTTATTTGTATCCAAATTTCTTCCAAGCTACAAAAAGGCACGGACAAAATTTGCCAAAAATGCATTTATTGGCTAAATTATACTAATACATAAAAGCTACGGGTATTCTGTGTTCAGGTGTGTAATACAAAAAAGGACTCCAAATTATTACTAACTGTGCTGCTTTGTGAGTATCTTTGATCTTGAAGTTTTGGGGTTTACAGCTTATTTGCTGCAAGGTTCGATCTCACTGCCCTCACCAAAAAGCTGTTTTCAGCAGGAATATGTAACTATTTAATACAAGCTCTGATAAATCCACTGCACACTGTCCTTCCTGCACAACAAACAGTCAGGCAAAGTTAGCAGTCAGCAGATGATGGAACAGGAACATCTACAGAGCTCGTAAACGGTCATAAATTACTCTTAATAATTAGTGGAGAATATAGATTTTACCAGCAGGTTAATAAACGTCAAAAACCCTGCCTGATTAAAATTTGGCTGTAATTCAGTTCCAAGTCTTTTCAGGCATGTACAGACAGCTTCTCTCAGCTGTTTTTAGCAGAGAAGTCCCTTTGTGACCACTTATACTGTGTGCTCAGCGATTTCACCATAAACTTCTAACTTGTGCAGAGAGCAAGTGTATCAAACTGACCTGAATTTCATGTGAAAGGATCACGGCTGGTGATGAGATTCAGGTCATGCTGCAACAGCTCAGGAGTGGGTCACACCAGCACATTCTTCTTTCACCAGCTGTACCCCAGATCTTCCTCCCTTCAGCTTCACCCACGTCCCAAAAATAAAAAAAAAAACAAGTTGAAGAGTTGGTCTTCTGACACAATGAGGGAGATCCAACACAGACGCACAGAGACATAACAGCACTTACAATGAGAGCTCTAAAGATAAGACTGGCCAGAATTAAGTAGATATTTTTATGGACCTGGACGTTTTGATCATACCTCGTGCAAAGCATGGCCACCCTATGTCACCAATGTTTTGCTCACCTGCTTTTTTCAGTTAAGACAGCTAGCCAAGGTAAAGCCATACCTCCCAGGTAACGTCTTTGAGCGTGTTATTCACCTTTTCCTTACTTGCAGATTAGACTACTGCAATTCATTGTATTATGGTCTAGATCAGGCCATCATCCATCGTCTTCAAAATTCAGCTGCTTGCCTGCTAACTGGTACCAAACGGAGAGAGCATATAACCTCAGTTTTAGCTTCTTTACACTGGCTTCCTGTCTCCTACAGGATCCAATTTAAACTTTTACTTTTTGTTTTTAAGTCACTTAATGCCCGAGCCCCTCCTTACCTGTCTGAGCTCCTCTCTGCCTATGCTCCAGGTAAAACCATGAGGTCTAGCTCAAAACTAATGTTGTCCATCCCACGGACTTATCTCAAATCCCGTGGTGATAGATCCTTCTCTGTGGCAGGTCCCAGACTTTGGAATAGTCTCCCCTTAAATATTAGATCTGCACAAACACTTGAGCAATTTAAATCATTACTAAAGACACATTTCTATGCCATGGCTTTTAACACACTATGACCCAAGCATTTTGGTCTTATTTGAATTAGTTTTAGTTAGTGTTTTAATTCTTTTATTGTCCTATTATTGTTTTTTATTGTTGTTATTGTATTACATTGTTGCTTTTTAATGCCATTTTACATTGTTAAGCACTTTGTGCAGCATCAGCTGTTTGAAATGTGCAATATAAATAAATTTGACCTTGACCAATGTGATTGTGGGCTACTGTTGTTGGCTTTAGCACTAGTCTGTGTGACTTTTTTGTAGCCATAGGTTATTGTATATGACCATACAGTCTAATGTCAACATCTACATCAACAAGTATACAGCAAGCTAGCTGACCAGAGCAACAGGGGTGTCTACAACCTCCATAGTAACTGCAGGTGTAGTTTGATACACAGAAAATAGTTTCTTTACAAAACTACTCAGAACAAGAGTTAATCGTTCCCCCAAGTAGCCAAAATAAAAAAGAAAGCCGCTTTAAATTAAATAAGTCTCCCACCTGAAAGATCACCAGATTTGCTGCTCTGATTTCTTTTAGCATTCCTGAAGCAACAAAAAGAAATGTTTTCACATTAGAAATGTGACCACGGAGGAAGGTGGCACGAACACACCCGACTTTCAACCATGAACTGGAGTTCAAGCTTCATCTGTGACCACAGTTAAGTTTTGCTTTCACTCAGTGTTGCTTTGATTTTCACTTGCTGCTTTTTTAAGTTTGGGTATATCAAAGAAAATATCATAGCTTGGTTAAAAAAGATCCTTTTTATGACATTAAGTTCTTGTAACACTGATGTGACCAATTTATTTTATCAGAGGGTGATCATGATGCTTCTTGTGATGCATTACTTATGGTCCAGTATCAGCGTTCACCTGTGTAACATTAAACCACACGGGGACTGTGTAGTACAAACATTTTGCTGACTGACACCATGATGATGCTCGAACAAGACAAGGAGCAACTGTCAAAGATCAAAAAGCACACACGGACTTCAGCTATTACAAATAAGTCATTCACATAATATTACTTCTGTCTTCTTGAAAGGGTCTAAAACACACTATATGGACCTACTACCTACAGGTGCACACGCCCTAGTTTCATAGGTGAGTACTGTTACCATTACACTCACACATACTGGTGGTGGCAGGTGTCTATAAGAAAGTATAGGCCAGGAGTAAAGGCTACAACAAAAACACACATTTTACATCCTTGACTACTCACTTATAAATAAATCTCTGTTAGGTCAAAAGCTTAAATTAGCACCAATGTAACACAACCTTACATGATGACATTTACAAATATCATTAATACAAATATAACTGATGAAATATTACTTGGAAATGTAAATAGAGCAACCTCTAAGACAGTGAGCTCAGAAGAAATCGCTGAGTCTGAGAACCTTACTCGGTGCAAAAATGTCTTAAACCTAAATGATAATTACCGTAAGTTGACACATAAGACAGCTGGTGACGTTATCGCACCAGAACAGCTTGCAAACATCAATTTAGATGTTTTTCTGGAGCTTTTTTTCTTATTTCCTATGATCCCCATAAGCCATTCAGGAGCAACATTCACATGAG